TGTTCCATTTGCGCCAGACTCTGGACTAGTGGTTTTAACTTTTTTGGCGGGGTGTAGCCCCAATAAACATTTCTGGGGCTCAATAAATATCTGTGAAATTGAATATATGTTTATTCTAGGATTATATTTGTTATTCTAAAATTGGCCAATCAAAAAATGTGAAACAACATCTTGGCGCGGAACACCTGAAGGTCTTTGACGGAACGCTAGTGAACACACATTATATGATTATATCATACCAGTGTATTTGATTATACTTAAACAAGATACACAAAATAATACAGACCCCCGGATTAGAATGTAAACTTCCGAAATCCCTGAGCAGTACTGTCGAAACTCGAATTGAACAACACTGATCTGCAGGGACTGCCGAGTTTTTGTGAGGAACAGAATATTTCCAATTCGCCTTTATCCAGTCTTATTTATTATACTCTGCGTGGCTTGGTGTTACTTAAGATATTCAACTTGCAGCGCCAGAAAAAATAAATCACCACCAGCCGCTAAGTCTATCTTTGTAATATGATAATATTCAACATTGCAACAATCGAAAATAACTAAGATGACGGACATCTTCCATTCAGCAAAACCAGCCCGTTATGCAACGCATCTGACTACACCACAGCACAAGTGACACAAATAGGTCCAGCGAATCTGGTTTAAGGGGAAAATTTGATACATCACCAAGCGGAATCGGTTTGATTGGACATTGCCATACAATTATTTTTAAGTCTGCCATTTCAAGATCTTCGAAAACATGTGACTTGTTCCCATGATTACGTCATTCAGAATATCTGTTTATTGATTTTCAGATAAAAATCATTTGCTTGATACCTGCCTTGGTACAAAAATGATAAGAATTTTCCAATGACATTTGCCTATAATAAAATGTTAACTACGGGGTATCAAATCTTGTATAGAACTGGATCAAAGATACAGTATTTCATCTAGACTTATTATTTCTCTACCCAAGGCGTGAAAAATTATCGGAAAATATTCTCATGGTCACCCAATGTCTGAGTCACTAACTACTACAGCTGCTACAGGGTTAATGCTCCCACGTACATTTGCACCCATGTAAATTTGCACCCACGGATATTTGCACCCAAGTACATTTGCACCCAGTGCATTTTCAACCGCGGACAAATGCAGAGTTTTTTTTATATTCGTTCCAGATGAGTGAACTTGATGTTCAAGGCAGTCGACGAGTAACCTATGAGAGGTTACTTAGACCCCGGCGGAAGTAGTCCAATGATCCTTTCTACGTAATCATCTCTCACGAGAAGTGTGGTAACAGCTGCATGGTAATCAACATTAAATGAAAAGTGCGCTCCCAATGCTTGACGGCGCCGTTCAAATTGTATAATAACTAGTCATTTAAAAAAAATGAACTAACAATCATATCTTATCACAGTAAATACGTCAAAAACGATACAAAAAATAGAATTTCGTGGAAATATCACTTTCCCCACAATGGTGTACATCTGGGAAGCGATTTGTTTGATAAAACTCGCACCTGCTGATTTCCCGTGGCAAATTTTTAGTTTGATACTAAAATGTGATGACTCATCGAAAACGTTATAAAGTGGTGAGTCAACAAAACCTTCACGCTTCATTCGAGATTTGCCAAGGCGCCTCATTTTGCGCCGCGCTGTTCTTGTTCAAACCAGTATACCGGTCCTGGTTCTTAAAAAGAGTTATTCACAATTTTATCACGTCCATTCAATAAATGTTTGTGTTTATCTCTTGTTGGAGATATACTTTCCAGCTTTTAAAAACCTGAGAATCGCACGGGTCCCGGTATCACATGAATGTTCTTCTGCAAATTATTAATGAAGTGAGTGTTCAATGCGTTGTGAATGATAAACGGCTAGATTGCGTATTGTGGTGGTTGTCACGTTCACATATCAGTAATGAGTAAAAAGTCCACTGTTCGAAACTGGGAGAAAGCAAATATATACTTCACTGTAAATTTGCTGTGACGTTTTTTCACGTATATGGAGTGACAATTTCTTATAACTTCAAGTACAAATGCACCTCAACGATTAAAATTGTGCAAAGTATATAAATCGATGTACACAAGTGCAGAAATTTATGCTTGATGTGATAATGCATCTCAAAGTGGATCTTTTGTATGAAGCACTTTCCAATCATGCAAAAATGTGAAAAAACGCGTTTTAAAATGAGAAATTAGTAATTATTTAGTTAGGGTTTGAGTTAGGAATGATCTGAATGATTTGAATTTTCAGCGCAATATATATTCCTAACCCTAACCGGATAATTACTGATATTGAGCGTTGGCGAGGGCGTATGTTTGGCGGGGGCTTCCTACAAAAATCCCTCATAGTTGTACGTCACTCGAATATCTTTCATGTGTACAGGAAAATCACTAAACACCCACAACAACAGACTACATTGCAGAAACTCGTCTACAGCATTAGATTGAGTTTTAAAGCGGAGATAACTGAAGGAACAATCACAAAAGGGGAAGCCGGTTTGGATAAAGTATCGGCACAGCAATATATAAACACATTTCAGGTAAGAGAGATAGTTATGTCAAAGATTTAGTGGAAAAATTGACGCCATAGAGCAATATTGCATACAAATCGCTAATGCACATTCTACGAGGTCAATAAAGAAATATATTGACGATTCTAATGGCATTGTCTGATAATAGCAGATATGTAACTAGAAGCAATCTCAAATTTTGCTAAATTAGGATTGTGAGCAAGCAAACAGGATTATCATTGAGAAATATAAGCATCGAGCTAAAAAATATTTATCGCTTAAATAACAAAATAAAAAGAGCGATGTATTGCATCTTTAACAACTAATTGAATACTTCTTATACCATTTAATATTACGCCAGTGACTAATAACGCAGACTATTTCCTTTTAAATGGAAAACCATTCTTTTTCTTTATTTGAATTTCTTAGTTACACATATATGGTGGCCCATCGTTGTCACAGGTAAAATTTAAAAAAAAATGAAAAATTAAATGAAAAACCCAAAATAAAAGTAAAATAAAAAACTAGGTCTGAAAAAACATAAAAAAAAATGCGAAAAATAATTAAAAATAAAAACGAAAATAAAATGAAAACGGAATAAAAAAAAGCAAAAAAAAAAAATGAAAAAAAAAAAACGTGAATAAAAAAGAAATATAAACGGTTGACAACGATGGGCCGCCTCGTGGCCCATCGTTGTCACGCGTTTTCATTTTGAGAAAATTTGCTCCGGCTTGGGACCAATGTTGTCATGCATAATCCTACGCGCACAAACGGTGTTCCCTGGGTTTCTAACTCATTACTGATTTTCTTGAGCAATATTCAATAAATTTGATATGCAAATATTCTATAAATTCTCCATGATACAAGTTCAACTAGAAGTAATATACAGTATATATTTAAAATATTGATAAGAGAATATAGAATTGAACACGGAAATTCGAAAAATTTGTTTTTACGTGTAAAAGGTAATTGAATTGGAGAATTCTGCTTAAATGCTCAGTCGTCCGGACACTCGTGCGATACCGATACCGTCTGATCGTACCCGGTACCCAGCATACAGTCACTCATGAAACGAGTGGGAGATACGGATAGTCTAGTAGAATGATATGGTGAATCAAGGGATGGATTGAAATAAATGGTTGAGCCCGCGCGATTCATCATTCGTCTGGATAAATTGTATTTTTCGCTATAAAGCTATTAAAGTTTTTTATGGGGAACGGTAGACTGCAGTGCCTGATCTGGTAATACATAAGTGACTCGGATTATTTGGTATTTCAATTCACGTCAAAACTGAATCATGAAGAATAGATCATCGTCATATGACCTGATATCGGTACCCTGATACAGGTACTGGCCGCATATGGTTTACGGGGAATTGATAATTTGTTTTGTCCTCCGTGTCCACAGATTTGAGCTTAGCTCTCTGGTTGAATTTAATTTCAGTTTTTGAAAATAAATCACAAAAACAACTCAACTGGTATGTTATGTCTGGGACGAAAAAGAAGAATCGTGAGGATGAAAATCGGAAATACCAAAAAGGATGGGGAAGAGTTGTACTTCTTTGTTCAAGTAAGAGACAGCGCTGTATGCTTAATATGCCGCGAATGAGTCTTATAGTTTGAACAGACACTTTCATCCCAGGCACAGCGAAATTACCAACCTAAGTGCTGGGGTGCGAGAGGTCAAGCTACAGTTGCTGAAAAGCAATATGAGAACTCAGCAAAATGTTTTTCTGAAGCCTTTAGCAGAATCAACCGCAATTGTTAATGCTAGTTTGCGCATATGTCTCACTATTGCAAAAAAAAACCGCCAATGTATAATATTACTTGAATGTTGTGCATTAAAGTTTAGTTGAATTTCATGGCGTGAAGTCAAGACAAGGCTGTTCATGACAACCATTGCGGTGATACCTAGAGCCTCTAACCATTTTCGAAACATTCTTATATTGGAGAAGGCAAAAACCGCTTCGAGGTTGAGGCGCAGTTCTTACTACTTCATGGCAGCTCCTGCCACGAACGAACCGATGGCGGCTCTTGCCATGGTTTATGGCACTATTACCGGTATATTCACAAAGTCATGTGCACCAGATTTTAGTTTATCATGCGGAATTATATCTACCTAAACCCGAAACCTAAACCCAAATCCATCAAAACTGTATTCATAAGAAAAAGATTCCAACCCACCCAATATTTGTCACCATCAGGGGCAACCTGCCACTACAGCCGACATGCCGTGGTTACGGCAGCAAAGTTTTACCCGCCATTGGTTTTCAATTTACCCGCCATTGGTACCCATTTTGATGCCGTGGTAACGGCATCTCGCCATTGGTTTGTGGCAGATAAAAAGTCAGTCGCCACGGGTTTGGCCATAGCGGCCATGGTTTGGAAATCCCGCTATGGTTTTGCGGCAGCTTCAGACGCCGCAAAATACTTAATACTGCACTTGCCGATGTTATTTTTCCTAACATAAGTAGGACTTTGAATCAATAGAAACATTATATTAATCAATGTCTTTCACCATCCAAGCACAAATTTTATGCGGTTCTTGTATCTTTTCGAATATTTTGTTTCCAGTGAGAGGATCAATATATTCGTGATAAGATACATTCCCTCTCTGTTTGTATCCAAGTTTTGTTGTTGCCATAATTGTGAAAGCACTAGTGCAAATTACTGAGAGATATAAACAACTGTTCTTTTTCGCAAGTTCTTCAGTCCTGGAAATAACAAACGCGATTAAACAAGATATTTTGGGGGACTTGGGTCTGACAAATTACCTCAACTTTTCAGGAAGGAATTCAAATATCCATTTACTTGTTCTCTGAATATTAACTCGGGCAATCGTCGTTAAAACATTTAGTCTCTAAAATTTGGAAATTGTCGATGAAATGAATTGGGCGAACCAACTGACAAGTTGTTGATTCTTGGTTTGTATTATCTTATATTATCATTAGCCAATAGAAGTTCAAATATGGCGCAAATCTTCAATACCTTTTGTAAAGATGAGTTGCAATACCACGGTTTGTGAAGTCTTGTCTCACGGCCGTCAAAAATAGTTCGAGATAATGATCTGACCCGAACTCTTCACAAAGTTCTTTTTTGTGGATAGATTTTAGAAACTGTGAAGTTCAGGTATTAGTTAGTATCTTTGAATCATATTATAACGAAGCGATGCAGTCATTCAACTGCGATGCGACTGCGATGCAGTCATTCAACTAAAATAATATTATTCGGATTTTGCTAATATTTGAGGACCATATAACTAACAAATAAATTTAAAAAATATGTTCGCGTTCCTAAGGCTTTCTGTTAGAACGTTTCAATGTCTGGAAACTCTAGGTCTATAATATACAGAAATAAAATGAACTATTTATAAACACTCAAATTATCAATCAGTTTATTTTTGTATTCGGTCCAGTGCACGCCAAAACCATATTTTTCATTTTGTGAATAAAAAACCACCGGTATAAAAGTTACAGAAGGCGTCCATAAAGCGCCCTGCCTTTCCTTTTTTCAAGCATTCCATGTCTCTAGCCGCCCTGAAAATGATGCTCAAATTGTAGAATACACTTTCAATTTACAGGGGTACATAAATAAAAAAATCTGATTTGAAGAAAAATGCATTTGAAAAATATTTATTACTGTTTACAGAATCAAAATGTAATTCATCTATTTGCTTTTGACAGGGGTACATTCTTACACTTATGCTGTATATCATTTTCAATTAAAGGAAAAATTATTGGGCCGAGGCATACCTGCACTGATTCGACAATAAATGCTCAAAATACTGGATGAGAGACTATTCATTAAAATATCGTATCTTAGTACATAATATGAGTAATAATTGCTACCAGAATAATTAATTTAATTAGTTAAAATAATGCGACCAACCACCAAAAGTTGCTTCATTTCCAGTGGCTGATTTTCAAACGGAGGTAGAATTGGTTTCTCCATGCCACCAAGTAAATTGATTCGTACTGCACACATTTCTCCTGATGATTTTTTGTACACACCGATACTGACACCATATGATATTGCTGTCTGGAAAAAGATATCAATGATATGTCTGGAATTTTCTGAAAAGGTTCCTAAGTTAGATTTAGGGAAATTTGACCGACTAGTCTTCTATAATTAGGCTTAATAAATTATAACACTTTTATTTCAACTCCGACTCACTGGCATACTGTTTACGTCAAAAAGTTGACTCTGTCTCTCGATTTTAACCCCGATATAAAGATGTCGATCCATCTCTCTGCTTCTGACGAACTTTTCTCATTCTATTCTTAGTAGCCTCGCACTACTTTTACCTTGATTAACGGAGAAAAATATTCTTCGAAAGTTCCTCTTTGAATATTCAAGTGAAAAGTAGTAGGCTCTTTTGTTGCAAAATTTTCAAGTATAAATTCCATTGTTGTTGTAAAATCTTGAGCTTCCAAGATTCGGTATTCAATATCTGAATCCGACATTATTTTATAAAACTAAGCTTAAATCAAATAAATTTCACTGAAATATGTTTGTTAGTACTTTTGTTTATGCTTTTAAACTCTATGATGTCAAGCATAAACGAAAGGAGCCGTACTCAAATATATGCGAAGGTCCATCGGCATTGCACGGGTTGAGATTATCGAGAAAAAATCGACGACCGAGCAATTCGGATGCGGCAGAGCACCACAGATGCTGCAGAGCAATACTTGGCAGACTGAAGCCTATCGACTTAAAATCTATAGGGACTCGATATTCAATTTTGAACAATCGTACATTTGTTTTGGAATTTTTAAAGAGGGTTATTTTGAAGGTTTTTGATTTTTTTCATTAGCGAATGTGATTATTATTTTGTTGTTTTGAGCAGATTTAAATTTTTTTTTGAGACGCCTAATAATTTTTAAACCTACCGGTATATTTTGATGTCATACTGCAGGGCACGTTACCACTGCATCCCGCGAATATAATTCTTTACGTTCTTTATAGTGCAGAATAATAAAATCATTATGACGACACAATTTACAATTACCAAATGCCAGTTCAGCGTAGTGATGGTACCGATAATTCATTTTCTACTCCCAATAACAAATACAACTACTTGGCTACAGCCAAGCGCAAACACCCCCAAATATAAATTTCCTTATCAAATCCTTGTGTACCCTTGTGTGATATCGCGATCTAGAGTCTAGACAAGGCGGTGATGTCACGAAGTATTATGAACATGTAAAGTAATCCAACTACTCTGATTTTCAGGTAAATATTAACTAATAGGATCGTAGGTAATCTTGCTTTATACTTATTTTCAGACACATTGCCTTCAACGACCATACGGCCCCAGATTGTACACTTCTGACCTAGGTAGAACCTTCGATCTTATGAACCAGGCTTAATTAATTTAAAATAAAACAACAAAATATTTTGTAAAATATCGGGTCCCGTAAGCCTCAAAAGAAAATTGAATATTTAAAACAATATCCCTCCGGCGACTACTTGCACATAAAGGAAAATTAGAATCAATAAGTTGCAGAGAAAGGGAGTGGGGTTGGTAACGAAACACATACAACAAAAAATATAGGCTAATATAAGTATTTAAAAACAGCCCTTTTTTATATTCATGTACTGATATTTATTTCATTTTCATTTCCGAGTATAAACATTCCAAAATATTCCCCCTTTGACGTTTAGCCAAATTCACTCTTCACCATGTGAATTTTGATATGAAAACATATTTTCGAAACCAAGAACGGACCTCTTACCTGCGACCGAATGGTTCAGAAACCCCTTGGTGTTATGTTACCCCCATCTCAATCGATAATACCGCAGATTCATATGAATGCTAAGACGATTATTGGTACCAACTTCAATTGTTAACTTAATTGCCTAAACTGCAGTCTATATTTCAAATAAGCATGTCTCAAAAGTATTTCTATATCTCATTCTGAAATATGGCGTATTATGCTGTACTGATAAGCGCAAGTATATGCTATACTGAGTTTCTCTCATTTTAGTGATGCTGAACGAGAACTAATCATCCGCTTCGTCACTGTAGCGTTAAAAGTGAAACCTCGTTATTCGCTTACAACTAACAACGCAAGTGGTGTAAAAGTGCAAATATGTGAATATTCTTGTAAACGTCGTTTGGAGTTTGCTCAAATATTTATATTTCCAAATGATTACGCGAAAATGATAATGCGAAGCTCCACAATGCACAGTTCAATAACTATCCCATCCATTATAGCGTTGTTCGTAGCCCATTTTCGTCACTACGTCCTGGATACCTCTCTGGCTTTATACATCTTAATAATATCCATTATTACTTATCGATTTTAATCGGTAAGTATGTTGATAGGTATTTGTCTGCATGTCTGTCTGTTAGATGCACGCGATATCTCACGAAAACGAGATTGAATCTGCTCCAGATTTCGCATGTGCATTCATCATATGTCGGACCAGAAGCCTATTGATTTTGGATGAATTGTGTCGTATAATTAGCGAGTTATTGATTAATTAGTGATGGGACACAAGGTGTCACTATGGAATAAGAGCGCTGATTTGGGGGATCCCCTAACATTCGATTGATAAGTCTTCGGTATCAGACCGATATTCTCGTATTATATATTATAGAGCCCCGTTGTTCTCTCTCCCCTATCTCACTTTCCTTGACGCACTGTAACTCGGTCTGCCTCATAAAATCCTAGGTAAAAAAGGGTAATAAATTTTACGTTAACATACTGTGGTCTGTGGTAATATGCTATCAGAATATCCCACTTATTTAAAAATTATACTTCAGTTAAATATGATTTAAACATTATCAAAACAAGAGAGCTATGCTCAAATATATGGACACGTAGAGTCACATAATTTTGATGACGTCATAGCGAAAAAAAAAGTAATAGCCTTCTGGAGAAAATTTTTATCTTTAACCACTGAAAATTTCAAAGCAATTGGTCCAGTATTCGAAGAGAAAAGCGACTTTTTAAAAACGTGTCAAAGAACAAGAACAAGAACAACAACATAATATTGAAACGATCGTTATGTCCACCACGTGTCCAATAACTCGATAATCCAATGATGGATGCATGAAAATATCTGCTTTTTGTTTTGATTTCAGAGCAAAAAGATTGGCGAGGCCCCGATGGCAAACGTAATCGACGAGGTTGTGATCATGGAAGACGTGAGTTGGATGAGCGTTACCATATTCTTGTTGTAGTTTTTAATGGAGTATTAAAAGATAGGATAATATTCATAAAACCGATAAAAAATGAGGTCCGAAGTGTCATGGACATGCTGATGGACGAAATTTGTTAGGATGGTGACATCCGTGACATTTTGAAATATCCTACAAATATCTAGATAAGTATTTAATTAAGAGTAATTAACGACTATTTTCTGATTTTTAATAAATTCTACTCATCCTTTTTTTAATTTTAAGGTACCGATAGCAGAGATTTTATTCTTTGGCTGTGGTCACCGCATTTATTTTTATTATTGGTGATTTGTTTTTAATGAAATAAAAAAACGTCTAAAAATTAAATGTGTTGATGCATTGTTGGTAATTACGGGAAGAGCAATAAAACGGTAAGGACAATGGCACTGGGATTCAACAAGTATATTTATAACCCAGCACCGAAATTGAAAAAAATGTTTTCAGTCTGTAAAAAATTCCATCTTCGTTACAACAGGAAATATATACAAATAAAAATATGTAAAATAGTGCAGACCAGTGGTTCCCAAAATTATTAGGCCGCGCCATCTTCCTGGAATTTATCAAGTCTTGCGCCCCACCTCAAAAATAACTAGTTAACAATAAGCTACAAATAACAGATAGTAAGGCGAAACCATGTTTTATTCGAAAACACGTTGAAAATAAGGGGAACATAAATAATGAAATAAATGAAAAGTTTTGAAATGAAACTATCTAAATGTAAATACCTATGAGGGGCGCGCCTCACCGTTTGTGAACCACTGATCTAATCCTATGGTCACCTTTACTTTTAACCTTCTTTCTTTACTTGCCTTTTACCGACTTACAGCTACAGAACCGTTTTAAAACTACCTGCGTTTTTTAAATGATATACCAAGTTGAATGATTCTCTCAAATTAAGGTGACAGAAGTATGTAATGTTTTCATCCATTTTGCAATTGTTTAACTTATTTGATTTTTGTGTCACCAGGTAGCCACGGTTGACGAAACAGGTCTTATCAAAAAGTTTCAACTCACTTCTATTTTAATGACCCATACAGATATTCGCGTGAATTACAGCCGTTTCCAGTTTTAAACGAAGCCAGCACGTTTACATGGCATTCTATCTTATCACGCTGTGGTTGCCAGTAAATTCCGGGACAACCGTAGCCCAGCCCGGGACATGGTACGCCATATGTCAATTCCGGGACTGTCCCGGCCATTCCAGAACTGTTGTTAGCCCTAAATGTGATTAGAGAGAGAGAGAGAGAGAATTTTATTGTTTCGTCAAACCAGAAAACACATACAATATATATATGATAGCAAAATGAGAAAAATTAGATTTCGGTAGATGGCAGGGTGGTAACGATACGACCATTAACAGTCATCTTAGTCGGTTACCACCCAAAGCAAGCACATGAATAAATAAATTAATAACACAGGTTCTGTAATATTACACTCTCAGGATATACATATGGAAAAAAAACTATATACACTATGTAAAAAAAAGATTACATGGGGGCAACGACTCTGATGACCGCAAAAGGTCGCATCGTTGCCTCCCAGACATAGGATAGGATTTACATATTTATCCCGGGGGAGAGGAAAGCCGATAAGACGGCTTATCCATATGGCGAACCACGGCCTCTCGTCCGGTTAACATTCCAAGTCGGGTATGGGATTAGTTATATGCCGACATGCACCAAAGCATCTGTCTTTATCGGTACGGTATGTTAATCGTTGGTCTTTATTTTTCATATGTGTTTGAATATATTGTGTGTGTTTGACAAACAGAATAAACTAGGGATGAGCCGAGATTCGGATCCGGACTCGGATCCACGCATTTTTTGGACTCGGATTCGATTCCACGTCATTTTTACCGAGTCTATTATCCATTCTGTTTTTACTAATTTACGCATATGTTTGTACTTTTACCTCTATAACTATCAGTATATACCTTAACTCTGGGGTGGGCAAACTACGGACCGCGGGTCAAATCCGGCCCGCTGGGTAATTCAATGCCGTCTGATGCTGCCACAACCGAACTAAAACCAACTTTTGATGTTTTAGTTAAAAAATAGCTCAAAAGTGTTAGAATCTTGTAATTTTGGTCATATGTGTAAAGTTGACAATACAACTCAGTTCAAAGTCAATACATCGATTAATACAGATTAACAAAACCACAAACTAATAATGAGCATGCTGCCCCAAACAGTAAAAACCACCACAAGAGAAAATTATTCACGCCTGAGCGAACATGATGAATGTAGCAAAACGAAAGTGAAAGAATGCAGTGCTTGAAATGAATAAAGCAGAACAGTAACAAATTCACTGTGTTTTATTTTAAGTTTAGGAAAGACTTAATTGTCCGAGGGTAAGCGTTTGAACGAGTCGTTCAGGAGATGCCCCTTTTTTGGTAAGAACATCAGCCAATTGTTTTTTCGATTCGACCCAGCTTATGCTGTTG